AATTGACATGCATGAGCGCTGAGGGCCTGACCAGGAGCCCGCGGCTGCATGCCCATTGCACATGGCGCCCCAACCCGTGGCAGAGGCATCTGTGGAGACAACAACATGCCTGGAAACTCGTTCTAGGGGAACACCGGCCCGTAGAAAGCTGAGGTTCCTTCACGGGGTGAAGGTCTGATGGCAGGTCGGAGTCACTGGAACTCTGAGCGTACCGTGATGCCATGCCCACCTCGGGACTCGATCGCGAAGCCACAGCTGAAACGGTCTCATATGAAGAAATCCTAGTGGCGTTGCCGCGGCTGCGGATGCCATATGCCCCAGGAGCCTCTGAAAAAGTTTCAGTGGAACCGCACTCTTGCCCTCGAACTGTCGAAGACAAGTCAGCAGTGAGTGTGCGCGCTCGCTCGTAAGCTGCGCGGACATGGCGACCGAATCTATCTCCATACCGAGAAAAGAGATCCTCTGCACGGGGCAAAGTTTGCTCTTCTCCCAGTTGACCCGAAGGCCCAGACGGGCTAGGTGCCGGAGCACAAGGTCTCTGAGTTCGCAGACCTGATCTCGAGAGAGTGCTAGGATCAGTCATTCGTCAAGATAGTTCAGGACGCGAACCCCTTGTTCGCGAAGGGGAACAAGGGCTTCCTCGACAATCTTCGTAAAGACGCGAGGAGACAGAGCCAACCCGAATGGGAGAACCGCGTACTGATATGCCTGCCCCTCGAAAGTAAACTGAAGAAACGGTCTGTGTCGAGGTAAAATGGAGACATGAAAGTAGGCATCCTTCAGGTCTATCGCTGCAAACCAATCCTGGGGCCACACACATTTGAAAATGCGTTTGGCCGTGAGCATCTTGAACGGCAGCCGGTGAAGGGTGCGGTTCAAAACGCGCAAGTCCAGAATCGATCGTAACCCAGCGGTTTTCTTGGGGACAATAAAGTAGGGGCTGTAAAACCCTGACTTCATCTCGGTTGGAGGGACGGCCTCGACTGCACCCTTCGCCAGCAGGGTGGCAACCTCCGCTCTCATGATCGGGGCATTGCCACAGACCACCGTAAAGCGGACTCCCCTGAAGCGGGGAGGAGACCGTGCGAACTGAATCGCATAGCCGAGCCTGATAGTTCGGGCGACCCAACAGGCCAGATTGGGGAGCTCCAACCAAGCCCCCAAAACTGATCCAATGGAATCATCCGAGCCACAGGCGTCCCCCTGGAGGGGCAGTGGGGCGGAGAGATTGGCACAGGCAAAAGTGGCATAGCGACCCTGCGCGTGTGCGTCACGCTCCGCACCCTGACAGAGGAGACCAGGGAAGGACTAGCGTTCCGCAGGGGTCTGCTCTGTCAGGGGTCTGGCGATAGAGGGGGATGAGAGTGGTGTGGTCCGGAGACGGCACGCACTGTCATCCGCGCCCTCAGAGACAGAGGAGGATGAGAGTGGCGAGGCACGGGGGTGTTCAGAGATGGAATGCAGCTCTTTGGAGAAAAGATTCTCCCCCAGCCCTCCACCGGGGGAAGGAGTGGGCCTGCAACCACTCCCTGAAAGAACTGCAAGCCATATCTGAGCTGCCCGTAACGGGAGCGGCGCATAGCCTGGCGTACAGCGGGGCTGCAGGGCTGGTACGGGCAGGGGCGCCTCCCTGCGACCACCTCCACGGCACGGCCCGGCCCTGAATCAGCCCTATCCTCGTGCATGTCACTGAACACCCATAAGGATGCCAATAACATACAGTGAGGTGGCAGTCTGCCCCGCAGCTCTACAGGTCCCCGCCACCGGAGTAGACAAGAACCTACAGGCATTGGAGGGGTGCTTAGGGTTGCCACGCCAGGTGGAGGCGCTGTGGGGACACATAAGTGTTGCCACAGAACACTCCATAGGGGGGAACCCAGTGTACCCTAGACTGCTGCCTCTACGAGGGCAGGGAAGGCGGAAGAGGCCGCTGAGTGATCGTGAAAAGTCAAAGGAGACTTCCACGATCTCACAGCCTCTTCATGCACATCCGGGAAGAAAGGATTTGGGTTCGCCACCCCCAAAAAACAATCATCAGCCTTAAGTGCTCGGGACATGGCAGAATTTTCCACACAAACCCGACACTCGTGGCAGCCCGGAAAAGCATAGCTGTGAACCCTGAATCAAACTCACTATGCTAGCACATCCGAGGACAGCAGCACAGACGAGCTATCTCCAGAGGACTCCAGCTCACCTTGTGATGCGGCGATAAACATGATTTCATCAGCTGGGGGACCGAATGAGAAAGCGGGCCCGCGGACGGGCCCCGCCCACTCACTCTGGACCACGTGGAAAGACGTGACGTGCAACGTGAAAGACGGGGTGTGGACCGAGGAATTTTCGTCGGTTTAGTTCCAGACCTGACGTCTTTTGGTCACCCTGGCCACTAGCCGAAGTATTATCTCACGTGGAGAAAATAGTTTGGGTAGTGGATGAGGGGACTCTCACTCTATTGAGCTCACGGAGTCTCAACCGTATACATTGCGATGATCACGTCCCCACTGAGAGAACGTGACACACCCACGAGCGCTGTCTGAGCGTGATCAAAGCCCAAACACGTCAAACAGTGCTCGCGCCCATCAGCTGACTCTTTCAGAATACCGCACTCAGAAATATACGGGCAAATCGTCTTTAAAAAGACGCGTCTTTAAAAAGACGTGCCGCGTGCACACTCTTTCAGTGAGAGGAGAAAACTCTGCGGATGTTGAAGCGACCAGGGAGAGACACACACACTGGCAGACCACTGCTCAGATCGCAGGCAATGTGAAACTCGCTGGGTACCGCCGTCACACCAACACCAGAGAGTTTGCTCGTCTCGAAGAGTCACAATAGTAAACTCAGATTGTGTGGCTTGTGGAGTGAAGAAGTTCTCTTGGCTCCGAAGCGAAAACATACTGCGGTGGCGACAGCTTCCTCCTTTTATACTCACGGGGTGAGGCGGAGATACGCTATGCAAATTCCGCAGATCCATGGCATTTCTTTGCCATTGGCTCGTTTTTTAATACTCGAAGAGGATTGGCTTTCTAGGCGAAACCCCCATTCTCCGTCACTCCTGACGTAACTCGGAGTGACTACGAAAGGGAACTATGGATATGTATAATCTTTCAAGCACATGCACCATAACAAAACTACAACTGATGGTAAGCATCAGTTCCTGACTGAGCCCATAATTATTAAAGATGCAATTATTATTATTATTTTTTTGACAACACATGAAAAACAACTGGGATTTGATGCTGGTTAGTTTAATTTCAGATAGTAGCAGATGCTGGCAGAGTAACTTATCTTTAAAGACCTTGCACATAAATCAGAATTTTCT